GTGAGCCAGGAGTTGTACGTGTTCGGGGGCGTGAGGAGCAGAGACGCCGATAACCCTGAGTCCAGCCAGATGATGACCTGCAAGTCTGAATTCTACCACGAGGAACTGAAGAGGTAGGTCCAGGCTGAAGCAAACGCCATGGCGCTGCATGACAGGGGCGCAGACAGGGAAGCTGCGCATACTGCTCACCGCAGCTGCAGCTGCAGCACTGACCTTCTTTACATAAAAGGATATGAGTAGGGCAAGGGAAATGATATCACTAACAGGGAGGCGGGGTCAGGGATCACAGTGGATATCTGTCGGTGCCGCTGAGTTTTTATTCTTGATGTGTAACATGCATCGTTCTGCTCTTTGTCTTGCGTGCTCTTGCAGATGGATGTATTTGGATGACCAGAGCCTCTGCGCGCCCACAAGCTCGTCCTTCGTGTATGGTGCTGTCCCAATTGGCGCGAGCATCTACGTGGTGGGAGACCTGGACACCGGTGAGCGAGTCGCGAGTCTCTAAGGGGCAGCGTGTGGCTCAGTGGGCTAAGCCGTGTGCCTGTAATCACAAGGTCGCCGGTTCAAGCCCAGCCTCAGCACGTCTGCGGGTCCTTGAGCAAGGCCCCTAACCCCCAGCTCCCTGGGCGCCGCTACAGGTGGCTGCCCTTCGCGGACAGCTTGCTCTACAAAGAGCAAGTTGAGGGAGGCGTAAAAAGAATTTCCCCACAGGGATTAATAAAGTGTTCATTATTATTCATTATTTTTAACCTTTAACCTCTGTCGTGCGAGAAAGGATGGGGATGTGGTGGGGATGTGGTGGGGATGTGTTCGGAGAAAGTCACAGTGAAGTATGTAGGGTCCAAATACATGTTATGTATAAACTGTATTTATCCCAATAGGGAATTAAAGGGCAGCTCTGCTCATAGATGTTGTTTCTGCTCGTGTTTGTAGTATCCATCTACAGCCGAACCCTTCTGTCGCTGCTTATCCAGGTCCTCAGGAAGCCCCAGACAGTCCACATTTTTGCTCCTTCCCAGCTCCTAGCCAATCAAGAACACAGAACACCTGGTATGGGAGCAAAAATGTGGTCTGTCCGGGGCTTCCTGAGGAACGGGTTGAGAAACACCAGTTTAGAGTCACCAGAACATGCGGAGTGACACACAGAGCAAGGACATCCCCGCTGGTGTGAGGCCACAGCGGTAACCGTCGCACTGCCATGCCGACCCGTGTCTGTCCGCATCACCGATGCCCCTGCTGACAGTGCCTCCCTCTGTCCCCCCTCCCCTCCCCTCTCCAGGCTCAAGCTACGACTACGTCCGCGAGTTCCGGCGCAGCTCTGGTGCCTGGCACCGCACCCGGCCCATGCTGCCCACCGACCTCTGCAAGACGGGCTGCGCCGCACTGCGCATCGCCAACTGCAAGCTCTTCCGGCTGCAGCTGAAGCAGGGCTTGTTCCGCATCCGCATCCAGTCCACATAGGAAGCCCCGCCCCTGGCCCCGCCCCACCCTATCACCTCTGGATGTTCGCCTGGGACCCTGAGCTGTCTCTCAATAGGCTTTAGTGCGCTGTCTGCAGTGGGGCTCTGGCAGGGCGCGGCCTCCTCTGTCCCCCCCCCCCCACCCAAACCCCCGCTTATGCTACAGGCCCGTCGCGCACAGGATCTGATGCCTCATTCCGTTTCTAACACTAATACTTTTTAACAGTTTTTACCTACTACAGTGCTCTCATTCCTAGTAGCTCAATGTTTACTACTTTTAGTTCTCATATTAAGCTTTAAAAGGGTGCTTGTGTAAAGAAACACTTCGACGAAGGAGGATCTGCGGTTTCCTTTACTTTAATATAAGAATTATTATGCAACTTGAAGCCCAGTTGGAGGAATTTCTGCGAGAGGCTTCAGAACATTTGATAACTGCGTGGGGGAGGACAGCTGGCCAAAGGACCTTAGTTTTTAAACGTATTATAAGTTTTTTTTAATTTCCACTTTTATGTTACAGAGTGTTCCAGTATTTTCCAGGCTACGTTGTTGGATGACACGGTACAGCTGCTCAGGTCGTAGCACCGACTCCTTACTGATGCAGGTTTCCTGCACACGCGCGTAACAATAGGTAACTCTGTACGTAGATGCACCGTCCACCGCTTGGTCTTGAAAAGCCAAACTGAGTATCTGCCACAATTAGCAATTATTACTGGCCTGTTGTGCAAGTTGTAGCTGTCTTTACTGTCTACCTGCAATGTGGCTGTCCTAAGGGCGAACATACTGTAATTGTAATTGTGTTTGAGTGCCTGTGTTCTGTCACTACATAATGTATTTATCGTGCTGTCCTCAGTGAGGCTTGACCATTGAAATGTGTTTATTAACAGGTATCAGGCACTTTCTCATGTACACATGCACACTCTGCACAGTGCACTTATCATGCAGACCACTAGGGGCGCCAGCCTTATTCGGACGCACCTGGTATGTTTTTAACCGTGACTCACCCCCCCCTAGCCATACCAACCTTACAGCACGCGAGGAAACGCACGCTGCCGAGGAAACCGTCCTGCCAAATGCTGGCGGGAAAGCCAAGGAAGAAGTGTACACATTCTATGTCATACTTCTTTCTACCAAAATCTCTACCAAAACGAATGATTCAATTGTAAAATATGTCAGATGTTTAAATACCTTATTATTTCCTTAATTCAGGAAGAAATGTACATTCGGCAAAAAATAGAAGTTTAATAGAATACTGGAAGAAATATTTAAATTGTTTCGCATTTTTTGGGGGGGGAAATTGTACTGGATTGTCCACAGTGTCCAATTTCGTGCTAGAGGTGGTTTCCGTTATAAAAATGTTTGTGTGTAATAAGTGGTTTACTTTGGACCCCTCTGGCACCCATCTCTGTCTGGGACGGCTGGGGACAGTCTACTTTCAGCTGCCATTCCACACTGTTTACACAGCCTGTTATGTTACTGTATAATTTCCATCTTAATGTTAAAGGAGGGGGGAAATAACACCATTTTTTGCCTTAGTGATAAATCGCAAAAATGTTACTGTCAGATGTGGATTACTATCAATATGGGAATAGAGGTTTTAATATTTTAGTCCTTTTGTCTTCTACGGTTAGTTTTTCTGAACTTTTACATGAATGGCCTACCTTTTTCCTAATTTTTCATTTTCATGTTTTTGTGATCCAGATCGTAATCTTGAGTTTACAGGCTGAGTAAATAATCAAAAGACAAAAAATAAAACATTAGCTGAGGTTGGTGAAACCTGATTTTATAAATGATTTCTAAAAGGTCTGTATGGTATTTCTCATTAATTTGATTCCTTTTTTATTCCAGTAATTGACAGTTATAACAGATGATGTGTCTTGTTACCCTACAAATTCAAACATGTTTGAGAGTGGTAACCCTATGTCATAAGCCTGAGGTTAACACTACTTTCAGTGGTAAATATATGTATGTGGACTGATACCTTACTGTCTGCATGTTGCTCATTTCCATGGTTCATATCTCAGCCATGCTTCTTTTTATACATATATTTATACATAGAATGGGGTAGTTGATGTATGTGTGACATATCTAGAATTTAAAATACAGATTATTATCGATTACGAAAATGAAAGCAGTTCATTTGAAGCTGGCCACTGTTTTCTCTCCGATGGGTGGCAAAGAGGTCATGTGGCTTCACACTTGGGGTATTTGCAACATGACAGCAGCGCGATGACTCTGCCGAGTCGCGTCGCTGCTTTTGTTTTTAACACAACGGAGAGGCATCTCTGAATCTGAGGCCATGAGCTTATCAGAACTCCAGAGTCTGTCTCCCAGAGACATTCTCCTCTGTGTTCTAATTTAATCGGTGCGTGCGGAGTGCATGGGCCAAATCTGAGATAATTGGACATCGATAAAGTAGGGCAGCATAGGGGGGTTGGGGGGCAGACTGTGTGAGCGACCTGGCAAACTGAATTCACATAACTTATTAACTAACCGTAACACAAACATGCCTTTAGTCAAAAAGAGGTTGCATTTATAGGCCTATTCTAAATACTCAACATATTCGTGACACTTTTGGCTTCATATCTGTGGATTGTCAGCCTTAGTCTTGCTTATTTGTTTTGGATTTCACAGTCTTAATAACACAATGAAGGTATGTGCACAAGAATAAAAAATGGGACAGTTTGAGGTGGGGTGTACGAGTTGTTTGATGCATCAACAGCCAGCGGAATAGCTGGTATGTTTGGAATGTGGAAAAAACAGATTATTTCATTTTCTGCTGCTTTATTTCATGTGAAAGTGCAAAAACTGGCAGCTGAAGGGCCAGTAGCAGCATTAGAAGAACACTACAGTCGAGAGCGACTGTTACTGTCATACGAGGGATGAAAAGAGACTGCATGTGTTAGAGTCTGGAAGCCAAGCTTCTCCTAAAGGAAGGGTCTTAGGATTTCTATGAACTTCTGTGCTATTGATAATCCAATTTAATTATTGATGACAACCAACCAATACTGCAAAACTGTTCAGAAATCATCTGATATATACTCGTCTGACGTCTTTACTTATGGGTCAATAACAGGTTAATTTTCTACCTTGCTGTATTGTGCGTGGGTGGGGGTGTAATTGTGCAAAGTTTGCATTTACCGGTAATAGTGCAATTGGGAACCAAGCCAAACCATGGACTAGTCAATGCCTAGTCAGTGTAGATGACAGGAAGTTGAAACATACCCATATTTTCTCTGGGGGCAGTATGACGATGGGTCTGAGTAATGGTGCTTTTCAGGTATACTTTCATCCAGGTCAGTTTACTTATATGGGAACAAACTGTCAGGTGACTTCGGTGTTGCATCTGGGCTTTTGCCAAAGCACTATGAACGTATTTGTTTTAGGGTGGGTGAATGTCCGAGTGGGTGTGTACTAAGCTGTGTATATTTGTTGTGCGTGGATGTGTTCTCACGCTGGATAATGGGCGCTCATGTCGTTACCTTCTACTGGTCTGGACAGCATCTCTGTTTCTGCTGTTTCAGCCTCTTTGATAAGCTGTCATAAACTCTGGGCTCCCCTTCATTCCCAGTGCCAGGAATACACGACGGTCTTGTGCTCGACGAGCAACAGGGGCTTCAGTAACCGCGATCCTGTCCTTGTGGAGCGCAATCAACACCGATTCATTTGTCATCAGATATGGAGACGGATCACGGAGAGAGGACAGCGAGCGGCGCGTCCTCTTTCCACTTTTAGAATAGAGACTGCACTCTCCTATCGTAATCTGACAGTAGAACAAGACGCTCAGCGCATCCGTTTGACTTCCATTGACGTCACCGCGGTGTCACATGAACGCACCCGAGCCAATCAGAATCGCCCAGCCGAAGTGCCTGTTCGTTCACCAAGATAGAGGAAGAAGAGATCGAGCGAGGGGTGAAAAACCGTGCCAATGAGCTCTTAAAGAGCAAAACTCATAGAGAAACGCGGCGCTTTTTTGGATCATTTCCATTTTTATTTATTATTATTAATGCCGTGAAGCGTTGGTTGATACCGCTACGATGGCTAGCGTAATGGATATAGCAATAGTTCGAGTGTATTGAATAGCCTGCCAGGGGGAGCGCGACGCAGAGGATAGACATTACTGGGGAGATCGTGTGGATCTGGACGCTGTTACCCCATATCCCCTCTGTTACTCCCCCCAATTCCGGACTCCTTAACGCCTTCATGGATTCTCTTGTGAAAATAACAAATGAAATATTTAAGATCGCTCCGCATTAGCTGATCAAAGCGCCTTTTTTCCTGGTCGTGTGTGTGTGTATGTGTGTTTTCCTCCTCTCTCTTTAATCGAAATCACAGTACGCCTACTTCTTATTATTTGAGACGGCGGCGTTTCTTTTTCGCTGCTGCTACGAGGAAACCATGGATTTCAACGGCGGCGGAGGGGGCAGCGATCTCCAGAATAACCAGTGCCACCAGTCCGAGGAGAGCAAGCCTCTGTTAGAGGATACGTCTATCCTGGCGACGCCGGAGGGAAATAATAATAAGATGGGCGCCGGGCCGTGTCGGAGAGCCTTGCTTCTCTGCGGCAGCGGGATGCGATACAAGCTGCTGCAGGAGGGAGACATTCAGGTGTGCGTGGTCAAGCACCCACGCAGCTTCCTAAGCAAGATCCTCACCTCCAAGTTCCTGCGGAGATGGGAGCCGCACCACCTCACGCTCACCGACAGCAGCCTGGTGTCGGCCACGGTGAGTCCCCGTTCTGTCCGAGCCCCCCCTACCCCCCAGAGCAGCTGATCGCTCGCACTAGCCATGTTGAAATAACAGATCGTGCAAATGAATGCAGTTATTTAACCACGTCCCATTTAATGGTGTCCGGCTACTTTGCTCGCCCCCACCCCCTCCTTGATCAGATCGCAGGATAACCTGCCGAACGAGGGTTTACAGTAACCAGCAGAAATGTTCCGGTTTATTTATTTATTTATCCCCCCCCCCCTTCCTCCTTTGTTTCTAACCCAAATGGTCAGCGAGCTACATTGTCGCTTTGTCGTTTCCTTATGTGCTGTTATACTTACGCTCAGCTGGCCGCCGCCGAGCAGATCGCATCTGGCATTTCTGTGATGTCTGTCTGTGAAAGAAACATCACCTGTGCTTATTAAAATATGAATAAAATGGTCCATCGGACACCGTGTTGAAAATGAGGCGGCGCGGACTCCCAGCCCCGAAGCGGAGGGGGCCGGCCGCCTTTTAAAGAGCTGCGGCACCTCGATACGTGCCGCACGGCTCGGAGATGGTCGCCTCCCGCACTGTGTTGGAGGACATTTTATATATCGACGAGATGGAGTACCGACCGGGCCTCGGCCGTGTTTATGGACACGGCCATTAATTCCAGTGTTTCCACTGTGAGCCTCCAGAAGCAGCACGTTTAGCACCGATTGTATTGAAAAGCCGTATTTGCCCGGTGGTGGCAAGTAACGAAAATACCTCCTTTGTAACTCGTGTTATAATTTACATGATGGGTAATGAAATGGGAAAAATAATTAAAGAAAGTGACCCATCGTGATTAGTCTTCAACGTTAGTCCTCGTTTTGGGTTTTTAATTGATATTTTTGTGTCTGTCACATGACTTAAACATTACTTTCCCCGTGCCTGACGGTCTTGGTAACCACTGTTCTCTAGGACCAGGAAGACGAGGGTCCGTATTTGAAATGTACCTTCTGTATGTATGCCCTCATAATGATGACCCATCTGTTGGTGTATTTTGGTAGTAGAAGGCTTTCTTTGGCTCATAATAATGAGTCGACTTTGATGTCTTTGTCGGGCCTCTGATAGCTTGGTCTCTGGCGTTTCTAGCCACATGCATTCACACCTGTGGGGTCCTCTGAACTAATAATGTCTGTGTTTCATGTTACACAACATGAATATTGAGGGGTTATAGAAACTCGTGATCCTGGCAACCTAATAGTATTAAGTTGTCTAGTTATCTTAACTTGCTTCTAAACAAATTACAGAATTATTGAGAAATTAAGGATTTAACTCTTCAAGTTATCTCTTCATTCTAAGTGCCTTGCAGCATCTATCATTCGCGCTCCAATGCCAGGCGCAGGCACCGACCGGTGCTGCCTCCATTCCACCTGTCCATCTAGCCGGAGATCGTGCTTGTCGTTCCCCACCGTGCCTTTACGTGTGCGTGGAGCCGAGGTTCCCAGTATGACTTTCCCACGATTTGATCATTTAATCCCTTGCCCTCTTCATCAAAGACAGGTTTACTTGTGGTTGCGGTACGGCCCCCTCAGTTAAGTAAAACTATCCAGAAATGTTTTTCCACCGCTGTCACTGCTGTTAGTCCTCGGCGCCTCCCTTGCACGTTGCCCTTCACCGTCCCCGGTTATCGTGTTATCGTCCTCAGTCACATCATCTTTCTATCCGTCGCGGTACCGCATCTCGTTTCCTTCCTCGCCGCCGTGCCTCGGAGCTGCGTTTTCTGACACCGTCTGCGCTCCATTGTGCCCCCCCATCTGACAGCAGCTACGGTGTCGGTGCCCATCTGACGCCGGATAACAGCTTTACAGCTTCCGCCGCCTTCCTGTTTTTTACGGTTCCGCGGCAGCCCCACCTGCCCAGGCGACGCGCAGTGGGTCGTGCTCCGGCAGCCGTGGTCTGCTTTGCCGCCACGGTGTCTACCACGGTTTCAGCTCCTCTGCCGTCCCAAAACCCATTTCAGTTGCATTTTAAGTCACTTTATACATTATTCTGTCACATTATGAGCCCACGGCTTTGTTTTTATTTATTCATTGTTGTATTTGGCCATGACGTGTTTTTAACGTGATAAATCAGTATAATGTAACATTAAGATTAAAATCTTTTTCCAGTTTTTACCCTTTTGTTTTCGTCGTTCTCGTATATGGCCCATTTTCGTGTCTGTTTTCTAACATTCATCGCAAAGTAGGGTAATTAGTCATGCTAATGGTGAGTCAGTGTGACATTCTGGAGTTGGAGTATTCCTGTTTGCTTTCTGTTACACGTTCGCCAAGGATAGGTTATATATTTATACATTGATACGTACACACTCAGTGGCCAGTTTATTTGGTACACCAATTCGTTAAAGAAAACAGCCTGTTGTTCCATACATGAAATGGTGTGGCTAATACTGAATTTATACAAATTGCGACAGAGGTACGAGGTTGGATAAGAACTGGATTGGCTAAGATCTGTGGCCTAACCGATTTTTGGCTAGGGTGTGATTTAAAAAAAAAATAAAAAATTTTGGTGTAAGACACAATGCAGCGTTTACAATAATAATGCAGTACACAATAAGCACCCAGTCTGCGGCAGGATGGTGGACAAGAACAGCTTGTCAATGAAAGAGGTCAGAGGAGAATGGGCTGATTTGTGAAAGCGAACAGGAAAGACACTAGTGCAAAAATAACAGCTCAATGTAACAGTCGTGTGTAGAATAGCTTCTCGGAACACAAAGCTTGTTTACTGTTGAAGTGGTTCTGGAAGCAAAAGTTGCTCCAACAATGTAGTAGCTAGGAATACCCAATAATGTGGCCATTTAGCATCTGTATAATGTAATTTGGTAAATATCAATTCTTCATCTGAAAACAAAGCGAGTTTTTAGGAATTTCCTAACATCAGGAAATGGGCCCTCACAATTCTGTTCTGTGTGCCAAAGCATGACTGGATTGGGGTCTTTCCTGTGAATCTTAACAGTTTAGCAGATGCCATGTTTCTAAGCAGACTCCTTTATCCCAATGAGATAAAATTGAGTTAAATAATTGCCTGTATTTGTGCCAGATGCAGCCTCCTCATGCACATCACACACATTGATGCACATTGGCGGCGGTTCTCGTGTGTTTTATGCAATGGTGTGGTGGTGCATAAAATAGACAGACAAGAGCAGATGTTGGGAGTGGGGGGTGTTGGCCTGGATGGAGTTACTCAGCTGAAAATTATGCTCTGTGAAGAGGGCTTCCCCCTAGCACTCTATAGGCATGGCGGTTCTCCAGACTTGAAGTTTAACAGCGCTTTTCTCAGCGTGTAGCTGAAGCTACGTATTTGATCTAACAGTTCAAACAATTTTGCATTAGGCCTGCTTCGAAAGAGGGTCATTCCAGTGTAGTGTTTGGGGCCTTTGCACACGGCGAGGAGTTACGTTGGTTGCTTATGGAGTATCCGTGACACGGCAAAGAGGTTTATTTCTGAGATTTCCCTGTGTGTCGCATGCTGGCTGTTAGGACCTTTGGCCTCCGCTAAAACACAAGCGGCGTGCGTTTAACTCCATAAGCCATAATTCTTTTGTTTTAGTCATGAGGTCGGGCTGCAAATTGACAAAGAGAAATGAAAGTAGTCCAGCTCGTGGAATGTGAAATTGCGGTAACGCCAACGAAAAATATATACTTTGCGATCCTGCATTTGACAGTTTACATCATAGCACGACTTAACCTGGACTCTGAATCGCGTCACCGATTGTGATTATTTTGCTGTCCTTCCCATATAATTATGTGTCTTTGAAGAGGTTCCTGTACCACTCAAAAATGCATGAAACTTAATTGTTGCAGATTATCTATCAGTTGTATGAGATTTAGAAACTTTATTCAACGAGTACAAAAACTTTCTTTTGGTGCAGGTGGTGACATGACATTTCAATTAAACATGCAATCGAGGAAAAAAAAAACAAATTATACATAAAATAAAAGTCAAATACATGGTAAAATAAAAACAAGATGTGCAGTTGTAATACAATTTGACAGTTTTCTTAGTCTGTTTATTTAGAAATATATCAAGTAAGTAAATAAATGTTTAGTGGTTTTCTTATTTTAGAAGGGCTCCAAACCCTTTTTAACATGGCAGCTGTAGGCCTACAGCATGATCTCTTATTTTTTAATTTTCATGACTTCATGACCCAGACAGGCTTTTTAATAAATCTTAATTAAAGTGGACTCGGTGGCTCATCTCGGATGATCGTATTCGGATCCTGATGCTGGGAAACCATATGCAGACGATCACGAGCTAAACTTCAGGCTTACAGAATATAGATCAGTGAGCGGACAAACATGCCAATTCCCATAGACCGAGCTGTCGCGGTCTGAGATTGCCCTGACATTTAGGAGGACGTGACTCGCCCGTGAGACATACAGGGAAATGGCCGTGTGCATCATGCCCCGTCTTTGACTTTTTGCCCACTTGTAGGGGTTTTACATACATAGTTCTTGCAAAAGTAGCCTGCCGAAATCAGTTTGCGTAGAGAACAAGCTTCCACCTGGACTCTGACATGCATCGCAGCTGAAGCTTCTTAAGAGTGCGGTAAGTGCTTTTAGAAGTCTTGTATGCTCCATGTCTTTTAATATTAATTATTTAGAACTGAAACAATTCTTCTAATCCTTCAGAATAAAGGAATATGTGATGTGTCAAACGTATGTAAACATTGAACTTTCGTTGGTGCATTATGTGCTTTAAATGTAAAAGGAACATGATTTTGATACCATATAGTTCACTGTTTCAGATTGTCAGTATGATAAAAAGGTGTGACTCTTTCACTCTTTCGCTCACTACCATGTATTTCTCATGTTATTTGTGATGGCAATCCACAGTTCAGGGTAAAGAGATGTTAAATATTGTATGACATTTTCTTCATTACAGGCTGGTTGGATGACGATTCTTTTCCTTTGTATTGTATTTGTTTGTTTGGTTAGTTCCAATGCAGCTTTCCCCCGTTCATGATTGATACAGTCTGTTTATGTCTA